TAGTAGTAGTAGTAGTAGTAGTAAGTAGTAGTAGTAGCAGTAGCAGTAGTAGTAGTAGTAGTAGTAGTAGTAGCCGAAGAAGCAGAAGTCGTCGTCGTCGTAGTGGTAGTATGACTATGACTGGTAACAGCCACATGAAGGAAGACACCGTGGGTGAGCTTCATGATGGAGGTGTGACTTTCAGACCACGCCAGTACCATGGGTCTGGGCATGTCTTGCCGGCAAATCACTTCAAGGTGCTCAAGAATTTGACACCGATGACTTTTATTATAGTACTGAAATACAATAAAAACGACAATTTTTCCATGATATAAGAGAGCTATAATAACATTTCTTCAATAACCCTATATTTATAAGGTTACTATATTGTAGCATTCCTGGCTCCTTTAACGCCTCCAGGCTACAGTGGAAGCCGTTCTAAGAGCAAGCGGCCCTGTCTCGCCGCCCAGCTCGCCAGTGGGAGCCCAAGAGGCTTGGGTTCGGGGTTTTGGAGTATTAGAATACACTGAATGAATGATTGTTGTGAGTGTCTTTAGATAGGTAGATAGATGGTTTGATAGATAGGTAGTTGTCTTAAGCATAGCTGTACCTTTAAGTGTATGTTTCTACATATGTTCATATGTATATGTATATGCATACCCATGATTTAAAGGTCTGTTGTTCGAGATGACATGCGCTGTCTGGGTAGCTTTTTACAGGGTCTCGGGCCTTTGCAAGCACGTAGCCCTCAGCCTGCAACTGGTTTGGGCACAGTGTCAAAGCTTGGGATTGTCGGTTCAGGCTTCTGAGCATTGCAACTGCGAAAAATTCTGGGTCTTTTTCCTCCTCCAACCGTGCAAGCAACGCCAATTGTGACGAGGCCGAAGTGATATCAAAGACTTAAGGACTACAGGGTGAATTTCGGGATCCTGCTGGTTGCACGTGTTCACAAATCTTGACTTTAGCATGCTTCGACTGGTTGGTCGAAGGCCATTCACTGCTGTTTTTGTTGACGTTCGACATTAGCAGAAGCGCACAATTTTCCGCGAGAGCGCAGCATGGACGGCCAACTTCACAGTCCGTGGCATTGCAGCTGCCAACGAGAGCACGACGACAACAACAACAACAACAACAGCAACAGCAACAACAACAGCAACAACAACAACAACAACAACCACAACCACAACCACAACCACAACCACAACAACAACAACAACCACCATAACAACCACAACGACCACAACCACAACAACCACAACAACCACAACCACAACAACCACAACAACCACAACAACCGCAACAGCAACAACAACAACAGCAGCAGCAACAACAACAACACATAACAACACCAGCAACTGTCATGGCCACTGGTTCTTAGCTGCTTCAGCTCGATCCACTGAGACCCGCCAACCGGCGGTTCCTGCTTCTGATGGGAGGCGCCTCGTTTCTGCAGTGCCGCTAGGCAACCCAGCGAGATCTGCTTGCATCCCGAAGCCTTCAAAGCCCTTCCAGGGCTCAGGAGGTGGTTCTTGTGGTGTTTTGGCCTCATTGTGGGATTCCTGTTTGGCAGGCCTTAGCCTTAGTGTGAGCTGGCTTCAGGAAAGGTCAGAGGTCACTCACTGTTTATCTTCGTGTCAGCTTAGCGCGAAAATCGGATCGGAACGGCACCCCCTGTTCTTGTCAGCTTCTCCGTTCGAGGAGAGCACCGTGCCACGCGTGTTTGCTTTGCTCTCGGAGTGGATTGGGGAGCGGGCGGCCTCTGTGCCATCCCACGCCACAAATTCAAGAACTGTCCAGCGCCGACTGACATTCGTGACTGGAAAGGTACTTCAACATCCTGAATGGGGACAATCCGGGGCACTGACTTTCTTATCCCAAAGCTGATACTGTAGTGCCAGTGCACTGGTGGTGGTGGTGATGGTGGTGGTGGTGGTGGTGGTGGGTGGTGGTGGTGGTGGTGGTGGTCAGTAGTTGTCTAGTGGCATTGGTAATCGTAGCAGATAATTGCTGCGCATCTTCACGGTAACGATGACGGCGAGTGATGGTGATGCCGTTTTGCTTGAGCATAGCTGTCAGTGATGTGGTCGTGGTTGTTACTGGTGATGCCAGCTTTGCTATGCTTGCCATCGCTGTTGCCCCTGCAGTGTTGGTATCATTGCTATCTCTCACGATGATGAGCATGACTGTGACCACGACTATGGTTGTGACTAGTGTAACTGGCCATTTCCAGCAGCATCAGTACTGCTGCTGTGCATAGTGCATCGGTTGCTCAGCGCACAACGGCTACTATTCTGCCAGAGCAGGCAGCATCCACTGGCCGCACTTGGTGGCTTTGAAGGCTTCGGCGCCGCAGTGGAGTCCAGGTGGGCTACTAATTTAGCACGACTTTACTATCCGGGCTGCATGTGGCGGATCTTTTCATGAGGTCTGTTTGGAAGTAGCAGATCGAGGACTCACCGAGTAGCATTATTCCCAAGCCAGAGAGATCCTTCTGCGCAGCTTAAAGCCTTGTTAGGATTGAACCCTTGACCAGGCCTTCTGGTACTTGTCTCTCATGCGCTTCATCCTGAGCAAGCCCACTTCACACCTACTTGCACACACATTTGGGCTTGTGTGTGTTGGAACTGGTGTGCCATGTGTTATCTAGTATTGACAATCAATAATATCCAGTTCTAGTTATATTCCCTAAATAGTTATGATGATGACATTGTGCTGCTCGTCTGCTTTGCCTACGGGTTGGTTGTGAATCGTATGGAACCGCTGGCGGTCTGCTACTGTGCTGTTGCTTGCAGCTTCACGGGTCCCAGGGCCATCGGCCACAGGTATCGACTACCCACAAAGCTCGCAACACAGCGTTCAAGCAGCGGTCGAAAGAAAAAACCCTCAATTCTCAGCCTAGCCTCCTTCGTGTGTAGGGCTCGCAGCCCACCAGACGAAGCGAATCCCTCGAGGCTGGGACTAAGTCCCGGAAGGTCATCGCGGCACCGACCAGAGCCCGGCGTCCCAAGGGAGGCTTTAGGAGTTTCAAAGGAGTTCTTGTGCGCGTCCGCTTCGATTTCAGGTGGTGTTCATTCTGAACGCAGACGGGGGAGCCAAGGGGTGATTGAGGCTTCCAAGGCTTTGGGGGACATCCGGTGTTCTGAAATCAGAATGGATACGATTTGAGCCTCGAGAGTTTGCAGTTGGTATTTTGCCAGACAAGGAGCAGGGATGCATCTGAATTGGTTTCTTCTTTCGACTTTGAGAAGAAAGAGGCAGTGCGCCTTCGATCTTTTAAGCTCTGGAGGGTTCCGGCAAGAGTCATCTGCATCTCAAGATACATGACATATGCATACATATATGCTGCATGTGCAGACTTCTACACTGTGTATACGCATACCTATATATATATATATCTGTACACAGATCATATGTCTGCATATGACGCAGGGGATAAACAGCATGAGGAATTATAGAGCAAGAACCTGCAGAGATGCGTTCGTATGTAACACACTACATGGACTGTAGCACATGTTGCATTCGAGCGGGATCTGCTTTGCTTTCCTGCAGGGTTGATCAATTACGAGGCTTGGCCCTCCTTCTGTAGCGGCCCTGCCCAACTGTAGTGCCACTGGAGTTCGTGAGTGATGTATCTGGGCGTTTGTGCTTCGGAGTTGTCTATTTTTTCATTAGAATCCACACAACGGGATTAACCACTCAGTGCCTTAAGCAGAAAGAACCACGGCTATCGGTGGTGTGAAGATTCAGCATACGGGCCTGCAAACCAAATCCACGGATGATTCTCCCAGGTCAAGCCCAAGCTCAAGGGTGCCCCTGAAGGCAGGGAGTAGACCTGTTTACTGTATTGCCTAGACTCACAGGGTAACGTACTGATTTCCATCATCGTCGACATCATCAACATGTTCATCATCAGCATCACCACCATCGGCAAGAGGTCGCATCATTACTATCATTCATCACCGGCATCATTCGTTCCGAGCTTTGCGCCATCCTCGCCATCATCATCGTCGGACAAGCATCCACCAATTACGAATGGCGATGCTCATAGGCAGCTGCAGAGTACTAGCAAGGCTCCAATTATGTTGGAGCAAGGACGGCGACCTTTCGGGCTTGCCGGGTGCCATCTGCTGTCACGACTGCTATTGCTACTCTTACTCCTGCTCCTACTACTACGATGACTACAATGACTACAATGACGACAACAACGACAACGACGACGACGACGACGACGACTACTACTATTCCTGCTGCTACAACAACAACAACAACTACTACTACTACTACTACTACTACTAGTACTACTACTCCTACGACGACAAAAAACGGCGACTACTACCACTACCAATACTGCTGGTCTACGACAACTACCTCTACTGCTGCTCTATTGCTAGTACTACGGCTACGATTCGGAGTACCATATGCCTCTACTGCTGCAAATGCTATTACGGCCCTCACAGAGCCGACTGCTACTACTGCCATTAAGTTAAGACAACGGCTGCTACCATGATGATGATGGTTATGATGATGACAATTCTGAAGATGCTTTGTATGGCCGCTACGATCATCTGTCTGCGAAGTATGACTCCTTAAGTTAAAAGCGACTGGCCCAAGGAAGCCGGCCTGAAAGCCGTGGACAGGGAAAAGGCATCGCCAGGGGCTTAGCAAAGTCTGCGACAAGCTGCAAGCTGCACAGCTTGCTCCTTGCGAGAAAACAGCGGGCTGTCGTCTTTCCTGCGGAATTTGCGCTCCCATCCCGACTTCGGGCATGCTGTTGAAACCAAAGCTCTTCAACAAGGGTGTGAACACCGAACTCCGACAGACCTCGGCTGCAATTGTTCGACCAAAAGGCCCTGCATCAGGGAACCTGGAGCCTCGAAGCAAGCTGTAACAAAAGCTTCCTCTTTATCGAGGTAGGATTCCTGGGATCTTCTTTTTCGTTTGGCTGGGATCGCACCCCTCCTGATCCCAACACAACGCACAAGTCATCCCTCAAGGAAGAGTTCCCAAAACGCACGCCTTAGGCGCCCGAGCTCCGCACCTCCCGGGCGAGCGGTGGGCCGGTCACAGTGGTTGATCAAGTTTCCAGGCCTGGAGGGGGTCAGTTGTGGGTTTGGCACCTAGGGAATCTGGGGCAACCTGTCCACAAATACACCTGAGCCCGAGCATTCAGCACCGCGAGCTTGACCTTGAAATGTTCGAAACTCCTTCCTTGTATATTATTGTTATACTATATTATATGATATGATATTATATTATATTACATTATATTATATTATATTACATGATGTTATATTGTATGCCGTCTTCTCCAAAGAGCTGGTGAGATGTCTGTGGTACCGTTGCCAGGAGCGCCTGGCAGCGGCCCAGGAGCCGAGATGGGGAAAATGGACCTTTGGAGCGCCTGCCTCAGTTAATAATCAGCAGAGCCACGGTTTTGGGTCTAGGGGTTTAGGGTTTAGGGTAGTTTTTCAGGCGGTCTGGAGTGTAGTTTGTACTCGTAGCATGGCTAAGGGTTTAGGAGTTTAAGGTTTAGGGTTTAAGGCCCTATAAGCTTACACGTAGAGGCGCGGTTTCTCATGACGTCAAGGCAGCTGCTTGACTTCATCTCAAGACACCTTTCCCTTGCCACAAGCTCGCACGGGTGGGGAGAAGCCAGTCGAACGAGCCTTGTGCTGGACATACGTTTGGCGAATATGTACTTTTTCAGCGCGCTACAGTTACAGTCAGACTTAGCGAGGGAACATGACACATTGAACTTCTAACTGGCACCGCCTCTGAAAGTGCATGTTGGCGCGTGCTTGATTTATCCCTTTCGAAACCTATCTGACTTTGCCAGTTCTTGAGTACTCCGATTGTTGAGTTGGTACTTGTTGCATTAGACAGGGTCTCACCAAAAGTCTGGTGCAATCGCATCATCGCATCAAGTGTCCAATGCATGCTGTGTCCTGCAAGCAAGTACCCTATATGACGAACGTAACTGGGATTGCTCTTCCTCGTCTCCTTCTCTGTGACGACCGTATATCTGTGGCCCTTGCCATGCTGCGTTCGGTGGGTACCACTTTCCTGGTTGTCTCGGATTTGAAGCAGCCGAGGCAACCCGCCGCCTTTCTTCAGCTGTCCCTTCTGTAGCAGAAGGGTCCAGGTACCCAAGAGGCGGGGACGTTGAAGGAAGTTTGAAATACATCCACAAAGCCGAAGGCTAAGCCTAAACCGTTTGGTTCAGGTTGCCATCACCAGCTAGAGCTGGTGATCATCTCATATGAACCAAAAGAAATGCGTGGGATCCTTGCAGCCCTGCGCAGTCTTTGGCCTTCTGATCCTGGGGCGTTGGCCTCGGAGTTTGTGTTGAAGGAGGACGGGGCAAGAGAGTGAGTTGTTGGGACTGTTGTGGCGCAAAGGCGTGCTCGCAGGTCTTACAGGATCTTACAGGCCCGCCGTCCCCCAAACCCCATCAGCTCGTTCTTGATTGTGTCCGGGATGCTGAAAGGCGGCAACAGAGCTGCCAGCTTGAAGCCCCATCTCTCGGAAGACATGGGCTGCTCACGGAAGCTACAGCTTGCCGAAAGTGTTGGTCTGACACGCCGCCTCGACCCCGAGGTTATGGTGCGAACCGGACCCAGGAGAGGTAAAGGACCGCTGCCTGTTACATAAGAGCAGCGGTTCATGCCTTGCCATTTCAACTGGAAAGGTAGATAGTTTTAACTTATTTGCAGTTGTCAGTTGCAAAAGCGTCGTGCTAGGCACGGTGGCAGAGGGCTGGCCCTGGCCGGAACTGCAAAGAATTCATCTGTATGCTGCATCCAATTAAGACACTAAGACATGCTTTGGGTTGCGCAGAGGCAGCTCAGAAGGCTCTGCGACTGTACCGACATGTGGTGCCATGGCACAGTGCCGACTACAGCAAACTTCCAACTTGTGATGGCAGGACCGGAATACGATGGAGGTTTTCACCCGGAGAAGCGCAAGATCGCCAGAGTGGGCCCTGCCAGTAAATCCAAAGCTGCATAATAAATGCATTATACATACATATATATATATATTATATATATATATATTTTATATATGTAGATATATGGATATATAGATATATAGATAGAGACAGAGAGAGGTACAAATATGTGTATATACCCTGTGGCAAGCATTATCTATCGAGTTCTCTGCAGGGGTTTGGCATTCCATGGCCCGAGTTCCTGTTGGAGCTCACAGACAGAAGACTAACATCTGCAGAACGAGGTGGCGATCTGCGGCTTGAGATCTTCACAGTAGATAGTACAATCGCACAGCAACAGATCACAGGCTCACAGCCACTCACATACATACACAGGTAGTTGTCCAACTATGCTCAGAGAGTGGAGGAGACTCTGCACTTGCCAGGTAGTAAGCTCCACATACCGGCACGGCAACCGGGCGGACTTCTACCTAGGCCTCTCCAGCTGGGTTCTCATGTTTGGGCACTTCGGGAGTCGACGGAGCACCGAAAAAGCAGCAGCTGTGGAAGCCAGTACAGCCCCATGCCCCGACCAGATGGCAAGAAGATTGCGCTGGATTCGGGCCGCTGGGCGTTCCACGAACAAAACAGGCCGACGGCTGCGCATACTGTGTTTGCTGCCCGCTTTCCGTTCTTTGGGTCAGTTGATGAGCCGAGCTTGTTGACTTTGCTGCGGCTGGTGCTACCTTTGCCACTAATTGTGTTGCTGGTCTTCTTGCTGCTGTTGTTGTGGTTGCTGCTGGTGCCATATCTGCTGGCGCTACTGATGTTGGTGTCATTGCGGTGGAATTCGCAGTTGCTGCTGCTGCTATCGCCGTTACTGCTGCCGCTGCTGCTGCTGCTGCTGCTGTCCTCGTTGTTGTAGTCAGCAGCAACAAGCTGTAGAAGCAAGAGTGGTTGTGGTAGTAGCCGTAGCAGCAGCCGGTGGCCGAAGCGGTGGCGGTAGCGGGAGCAGGAGGAGCAGGAATAGGAGCCGGAGCGGGAGTAGGAGCAGGATCAGGAACAGGAGTAGGATGATGTAGTAGCAGTAGCAGTAGCAGT